ATATATATTGTGTTTTTGTCATTCAATTATTTTATAATAAATTTTTATTTTTAAAATTATTTAATATGAAAATTAGCATCAAGGAATTATAGAAAATCATGAAAAATTTTTATATAAAATATTTGATTTATTAAAATTCATGTATTTGTTAGTTTTAAAATGGATATTATAATAAGAAAAAATAATAATATTTAGTTTAATTTTGAGTAGAATAATTATTCTTTTATTATTATACATTGAAAAAATAAAAAATAATAAAAAAAACCATTCAAATCAATTGCATTATCATAAAAAATGAACGTTTTTATTACTAATAATATTTCACTTTAATTGATTTTGTAATTTAATTGATTGTGACATAGAATGGTTACACATGATATGATATTTTCTTGCATTCTATATACTTGTATACATATTATGCTTAGATTTATTTTATTGTATTCATTAATTAATCTTGTTTGTTGCGCCTAACAAGATTCATTGATTGCAATAATAGAAGTTAGGGATTATGTTGTGTTGGAATATAATATATGTTATATTCTTAAGGGATAGGTGACAGATAATTTGTAATTTTTATACCCACCTTTTACCATGTTATAGTACTTCTATTACTTTATATTGATTCCTTTGTAATGTTATAGGATTGTTATTACTTGAGTAATTTGAGATGATGATTATAATAATGAGATTGCCATCATTCACTTATAGTTTATATTTATTTAAAAATAAAATATTCTCATATTTTATTTTTAGTAAACAAAGTAATTGATCATTTGTTTCATCATGCTGGAAATAAATAAGATACCAAATTTTAGCTTTATTAATGCACATCATAACATGATCTTTTGAATTTACATATAGTCTAAGATTTATTTTAAGATAAATGACCTAAAACCATACACTCTACTTCTCTGCCTCTTTGTCCATCTTTCCAGCTTTAAGGTGTGTCTACCTTTCCTCTGTCAAAGTTTGATCAACTTCTCACTTGCATGTATGATTAGAGGGTTAATAACATTCATGATCAGGCATTATGTACCAATTTTTTTTGCCTCATGATACTTAGTGATGTCATGTTATAAGGACAATTTATGGAGAGACTTTACTCAAGAGAGTTTTGCATGAGAATCTCGTCCCAACGACGAGTCATGCACCATTCTCCCATTGTTTTCATGGAGGAATGCTTGCTGGCTAAGGACAATTTCTATAATAAGGCTATCATGGTCAAAGTCTTAATCATCAATTTTCAAATTGGTAGCATATTTATTGACACATGAATTTCTATAAAAAAATTATTCAAGTTTGCTTTTGGTAAAATGAATATAGGGACCGCTCACCTATCAACCACAGCTGTGTTGTTTTATGGCTTTTCAAGAGAAATAAATTAAATACAACATATGTCTCACGGGCGCAAGAGACATCTCATCACTCTATTTATAAAAGCCAAATACCCGTAGTTCATGATAATACTCACATTATTAGTATTAATTAAAAATTAAGATCATCTGTTGTATTTAATTCACCCATTATTATTGCATCACAAATTTCAAAGATACATGATCACCGCTAAACTAAATATATATAACTAGAAGTTGCTATGCAGATCATCGAGGACTAAGTAATTCTTAACCCGTCTCATAGCATAAACTATCCTAATAAACAAGTCCAGGGACAGACAACAAAAAGGTTAAACTGGAAATTAGATGGTTGGGCAGAAGTTAACCAAGTACCAATAAGTCTAAAAGGCCAAGAGCGGAAGACTAAATACAAAAATCACCAATGAAAAAAAAAAAAAAAAATCTTTCTTTTCATCAAAGTAGTTAGCTAGAAGAGGACACAAATGTGTGGATATGACCCAAAAGACAACCATATATATCTAGTGGTTTAAAAAATATACAAACTTAAATGCATCATTATATAAAGACTAACCCTTATAAATATGAGGTATTAAACACAAAACTCGACCCAATTTTCGAACTTATGAGAGCCATGAAAAAACTCATATGATCTCCATCATCATGCTGATCCTTGCATCAACTCAGCCTCTCAATTGTCTCTTTCTATCCCCTCTCTTTGTCTCTTGTACCCAAAGCTCTATTTCCTAGACATGCTTCAATGATAAATTAAGGTTCACTACACTTAATTCCTATGTATTTATACATCTAACATTAAGATTTCATGTATGCATGAAAAGATGCGTTTCACTTAAAAAATAAATAATAATATTTTTATATAATAAAAAAAATTGATATAATTATAAAGAATAAAATTTAAATGTTGACATGTAAATACACAAGAATTGAGTGATAAATGAGTAAAAGCCTCTAAAAAATAACTATTTGCTCTCAATATACGAAATCCTTATTATTAAAAAAAAAAAATGAAGTTTAAATTTATTTATTTTATTTTTAATCGATGCTACACATTCTAAGCATATTCTACGGCCAGCTTCCTGCATATGAGACCAGATTTAATTTACTAAAATATTTCAAAAAAATAAAAAAAATATTAATGGCTGCCATCCCTAACAGCTTCACATCTCCCCGTCGGCCGTTGGATCTATTTGTTCGTTGTAAACTCCGTTTCCCACCTACCACCTGTCTAATCCTTTCGGCGAAAAATTATTGCGTGTGGAAAGCGCACGCAAAACGCTCTCCGATCAAGACTCTGACCATGATTATGGAGTGCTTTGAAAAATTATTAAATTATGCTGTGATCGGAGAGCGCACGCAACTCTGCGTGCGGAACTCTGCGTGCACTTTCCGCATACAATAAGCGCTCCCATTCGGCAAATGCTTTGAGTAGTTTTGGCGTCTCAATTATTTTTTTTGATTAATTGCATACAAAACATCAGAAATATTAATATTTACAAATTAATGTATTTGCATGAATTTTGATATTTGAAAACGGTTTGTTGTTCGCGAACAGCTCCTGTTCTGCTCGTTAAGAAGCTCATGCTCGACTCCTTTTCGCTAAGTTAACAAGCCGAACACGAACAATTTTTTGTGCTCAATATATAAATAAGCGGAACATAAACAAAGATTTGTTCGTTAGTGTTCAACTCGTTTTGGATCGAAAAACAACTCATCTATTATATATTGATGAGTAGTATTTTTAAAATAAGTTTAATTAACGACATGGCTACAAAAATTTATAATCAATTAAAAGTATTAATTAATAAAATACAATAGAAATTATTAAATTAGATTCAAATTAGATTTTAAATCTTGCCCCCAATCTTTAATATCTTATGACTATGTGATTATGGTTGTCAAAATGATTTTTTATTTGTCAAAGACTCGTGTTCGAATTGCTAAGCAAATAAGCCAAATAGGAACACACTTTTTGAGCTTGAATTATATGTGTTCTGCTCGTTTACACCCCGAGCTCCACCTTCGCTTCCCGAAATATCCCCCGAACTCAAATGTTTTCTCTCTCCTCTCTCTGAAGCCCTCCTTTTTCTAGAGAGAGAAAATCACACGCACACTCATACAAAAAAATCTGCTGCGGGTTTTGTGCGGTCCCTCGTTCTCGTTATCCCTTCCTTCTATCCTAATTCTCACCAGCCGAGCTCCTCCCTAATCGCCTTCTGATACAGGAGCTGAAGCACCTTTTCAATCGAATAGGTTTTGGTGAAGCCTCCGCTCGCCGGCGAGTCGATGAGATTTCTTGATTTTTGTTTCACATATGGCGTCTGCGGCGTCGATGTCTGGTAGGGTTTGCTGCTCTTTTTATTGGCTATTTTTTTTGTTTTGCGTTCATCTCTGGCTTATTTTTTTTAGTTGTTGAGTTTGATTGATTTGATTGAGGGTTGGTGGAATGCGCAGTATCGGTGGAATGCGTTAGTCTTTGTACGCTAACTAAGGGCGATGCAAGCGTGCGGTATGAGTGCAGTGTGTCGTCATGCGCTTGGAAGGCGCCGAGGGTTCTCACCGGCTCGCTCGCTAGCACACCGTGGCCGCAAGGTTTTGCACATAATCGGGGGTGGCGATTCCGCAGGAGTAATCGGCTTGAGGGCTTGAATTCTGTGAGTATTTGCTGTTTTTACTGGTTTACCTGATGATTTTTTATGCGGGTGGATTGCCTCTTGTGGGGTTTGCGGTTTGATTTTTTAGTTATGTTTTAGTTTTATGGTAGGGATGGTAGGAGGCTTGTGGATGAAAGGTTAGATGGGCATGTGGTATCCACGTGCTGGTTTGGATGGAGGTTTTTTTTTAGTTATGAGCTTCTATATGAATTATCAGCATAAAGTTATTCAGTTCTGCATTAAACCTTGAAGAAATTATTGATTTCTTTTTCCGCGATAAAAATTTCTGGGAAAATTCTGCAAGATGGGCACTTTAGGATGATTAGGCTGAACAAAATATGGGGAAATTGGCAGAAGTTTGGCAGCTTTATAATTGATTAACTTGAGGTCTATAATTCCATTGCATTGGCTGAATTTAACAGCCTTATCTTTATTATAGTGGGAGTAATTTATCTATTTTTTGATCACTACCTATATTGCTACATGCTGCCTAAAGTTTTGTGAGCTCGTGTATGTATTGATTGATGCTGAAAAATGCATCCATTTTGAGATATAGTTTGATTATTGCAGCTAATATTTTATTGATTTCGAGGGAAATATTTCTTTAGATCTTTGACAAAATTTACAATTTTTTTACTATAGTTTTACAATTTAACTTTTCCACAGATGAACAAACTACCAGTTTTGATATATTGTTTTTGGTCTTGTTTAGGCTACTTGGGGATGTGAAGATAATAGTGACAGAAAACTGAGCCGCAGACAAAATTTTGATTTTATGAAATGTAAAAAATGCCTCAAATCATTCAACATTCCTATTTTTGGCACAACTTCGAAGATTCTTTGTTCATCTTCAGAGTCTTCATATGAGATTTCGCCAGAATCTCTCTGGGAGGTACTATCATTTATGATTATGTTGTCCTTTTGATTGGAATATATCTAGCTAGTCTTCTATGTTAAAAGTAAAGTAGAGTTTTCAATTGCTTAATTGGCCAAATTGTGCTCAATTTATGAAACTTTGACTATGTTTTTGTACATGTGATGCTATGTTTCTACTTTTCTATGCTATAATTTTTTAGTTACACGCGTCTATTATCGGATCAGAGTAGCCCTATGGACGCATTTGCAATAAGATGTCAAGTTGGCACTTTTTGTAGGTTATGTCAATCCTCTCCATTTTTACTAATTATTCCTAGATAGGCTTGCTTAACTGTCTTGAGATTTACTCATGATCTTCTATAGTGATGCTTAGTAACAGCCAATTTGTTTTATTGTGAGAATTCAAAAGTGACTGGATCTCACTTCCACATAGTTTTTGGGGTTGAACTTGAGTTTGTTTGCCTCTGTGGTGACCTAAAGCTCATGATTTTCGATCATGAAATAGCATCTTTTCTAGGCATGGGTAGGAGCTTATATTGCCCCTCCCTAGACCTTATATTGGTGGGAGCTTAATGCATTGTATGTGCTCTTAAATATTTTATGATCAATAATTTGAACTAAAATAGTTTGGATGAGGCTAACAATGATAATGATGACCTAGTCATGTTCAATGCGATCATATTCACCAGTTTACAGTTAGGAAATGCTTTGGAAAATAAATACTTTCCGAAATTTAGAGGAAAACATTTCCTTGAATGTGCTAATCGTTAGGTTGGGATAAATGAGTGTTCTAGAAATGTTTACGATAAGGTATATGTGAAGCAGGATAAAGGCAGATTCCATGGACTTGCTTTTATTTGAAGTTTGGTGAACACGTGTTAGATGGAGTAAGAGGTATCATTAGTAACTCTGAATTTAGTTTCTTGTTGATAGGTTTAGTCCGATGGCATAAATAACAGCAAATGAATGACATGAATTGCAAAGCAAACTATTGCATATATTTATTTGAGAATCCAAGCTGAATCACGCTGTTTATATTTTTTATCATTTGTTAAATTCTTCAGAACATGTTGTGATCACTTCTTATGCTGAGAAGGTTTATGTTCTTCTCCCTCAAATAGTCTAAAAGTTCACAAGAGCCATCTCTTGAAAGTTTCACTGGGGAAAAAAGATATATTCTTATGTTCTGTATCTCGCCTATTGCATAGAAGTTATTGTTTGTGTTGATTGTCTATGATCTTGATTCTTATGGCTTGCTATTTTCCCGTTCTTGTTTGTGCTAGAATCTCAAAGATCCATCTTTGGGTTTTGGCTCGGTCAATAGCTCCCTGTTTAGTTTAATGCTTATGAAACTTATATCATTGTAAACACTTGTACGCAGGATTTAAAGCCTAAGATCTCGTATCTAGAACCAGAGGAGTTGAAGTTGGTAAATGATGCTTTGAGGGTAAGTTTTTGCGATGCATGTAATTTATTTTACTAATTGTCATGAATTTGCTTTATGTATTTGATATCTTGCATTGATAGTCCATGTAACATCTATGGAAGCAAATGATTACATGTAGATTCCTCATTTGGTCGGTGCAGCTGGCCTTTGAAGCTCATGATGGTCAGAAAAGAAGAAGTGGAGAACCTTTTATTATTCATCCAGTCGAAGTAGCTCGTATTTTGGGAGATCTTGTAAGTTAGGCTCAGTCATCTAAACCATATAAGAAAACACAAATTGTTGTGTGGTGTGCTCATGGCCAAAAATTGATTATTTTTTATTTTTATTTATTTATTTGTTATTTTTGGGAATGATTTAGGAGCTAGACTGGGAGTCTGTTGCTGCTGGTTTGCTACATGATACTGTAGAGGACACCAATGTTGTAACATTTGAAAGAATAGAGAAAGAGTTTGGGTCCACCGTGCGACGAATTGTTGAGGGGGAGACCAAGGTTATTAGCATTTTAAAATTTAATTTTTGGGGCATTTACATACATACCACATAATTCTTATGTATTTACACATCTCACACCTAAACTTTCATATTTATACGCATAACACTGAAATCTTTAATATCACATAATAAATAGCAATATTACCATTTTTTAAAGGTGAAATACACCTTTTATGCATAGGTTTAAAGCACCAAAGTGCTATGTGTGTAAATATGAAATTTTTGGTGTGAGATATTTAAATACATAAGCATTGTGTGCTACTTTTGGAAATTTCCCTCAATTTCTTTTTTGCGTAGAAAGCAAGGGGTCCGTTTTAGTTACTTTTTTGTTTATGATTTTCTTTTTCACTAAACATAGGTGTCTAAGTTAGGAAAGCTTAAGTGCAAAGATCCTGACATTTCAGTTCAAGATGTAAAAGCTGATGATCTGAGGCAAATGTTTCTTGCCATGACAGAAGAGGTATTATCATCCATATACTTCTCAAAATTTATTATATTTATCTGCCATTACTGAACAAAATTTCGTAGGTTCGGGTGATTATTGTAAAATTAGCTGACCGGTTGCATAACATGCGCACGCTAACGCACATGCCTCTGCATAAGCGGGTATTTCTCACTTTGTAGCTTGTTTTGAGCTACATTTCTTTGTTATCTTTATTTAATATTGCTTTATATACAGGCTAGTATTGCTTTGGAGACACTGCAAGTGTTTGCCCCTCTAGCAAAGCTCCTTGGAATGTACCATATTAAGGTATTATTGGATGTTTAGTTTGGCCTTGTTCCCAGCCAACTACAGAACATATAGCCGTAACTTTTTGCAGTCTTTTTTTTTTGGAAAGTACTTGTTTCTCTTTTGCTAAAACCATTGAAGGTTTTCCTTTTTTGGGGCATCTATTTCTAATGATAGATAGAGAGAGTGAAAAATATAATGTATAAACTAGCTTAAACAAAAAGAAAAATGAGTGAAAAATATATCTATAAGCCAATCAAACAAAGAGGAAAAGAAATGTAAAGATTTAACTCAAGTAAAGTTTATTAAAGATGAAAATCAAAAATTATTTTTCTTAGAGGAATATATTCAACATAAGTGGGTGAGCTATTTTGATAAACTTTTCAATGAAGTTTCTGAAAATACGATCGACCTTAGTTTTTGTAATATTATTAATAATAATAAAACGTTTTATTTTTACTGTCGCATTAGTACAAAGAAGTCGATGGGGCGTTAAAGAAAACTAAGGGTGAAAAATCAGTAAGACCTGATGATATTCCAATTGAAGTGTGGAAATATTTAGGAGATTTGAGAGTTTTTGACTTACTAAACTCTTTAATATTATTTTAAAAACTAAAAAGATGCCTGAGGAGTGGAGGAAGGGTATTTTGGTCTCCATTTTTAGGAATAAAGGGGATGCACAAAAGTGTGCAAATTAAAGAGGATTTAAGTTGATGAGTCATACTTTAAAATTATGGGAGAGGGTAATTGAACAGTAATTGAAGGGTAATTGAACATAGGTTAACACGTGATACAAAGATTTCTCATATCAATTTGGATTTATGCCGGTTAGGTCTACTATGAAAGCTATACATTTATTGAGAGATTTGCTGGAGAAACACATACTGGAGAAGTACAAAGAGAACAAGGAGAATCTACATATAATTTTTAATGATTTAGAAAAAGCTTACGATAAGATTCCAAGAGAAATTTTTTGGAGAGTTCTAGAGCAGAACTGTATTGATATGACTTATATTCAAGTCATTAAAGATATGTATAGTATAGTTGTTACTTATGTTCGGACTGAAGGAGGATTGACCAAGTATTCTCTTATTTCAGTTGGATAGTTGGATTACATCAGGGATTACATCAGGGATTAGCTTTAAACCCATATCTTTTTTGCTTTAGTTATGGATGCTCTTACTGGACATTTATAGGAGGATGTACCTTGGTGTATGATTTTCACTGATGATGTCCTTCGTATGGATAAGACTAGAGAAAGAATTATGGAAAAGCTTGAATTATGGTGGTCTATATTGGAATCTAAAGGCCTTCGTTTTAGTAGATCTAAAACCGGCAACATGGAATGTAATTTTAGTAGTATTAGCTCTAGTGGCAGAGTTGTAACTATGAGTGATTTTATCATTAAAATGTGTGAACGTTCTGGATATCTTAGGTCTATTGTTCAAAGTGATGGTGATACAGATGGGGATATTATTAGCAGAATTCAAGTTAGTTGGTTGAAGTAGAGGAATGCATCATGCCTATTGTGTGATAGAAATGTAGTGCTTAGATTGAAAGGAAAATTTATAAGATGGTGGTGAGACCTTTAATGTTCTATGGCACAGAATGTTGGCCTTTAAAAATAAGCATAAACAAAGTTATGTTTTGCTGAGATGAGAATGCTTAGGTGGATGACTGGCTTGACACTTAGAGATAAAATGCAAATGAATATATCTATGATATGGTTGGTGTACTCCAGTGGTAGACAAGATTAGAGCAAGTCATCTTAGATGGCTTGGTCGCATTAAATGTTGACCTTCTGATGATCCAGTTAGGATATTAGGTGTTTTAGATTCGACTTGTGTTAAGGATGGCAGAGGTAAACCTAAAAACACTTTGGCGTATTGTATAAAAATGATATTAATCTATTAGAATTAAATGAAAATATTACACTCATTAGGACACAATGGAGAAAAAAGAATCATGTAGCCGACCCCACTTAGTAGGATAAAGGCTTGTTGTGTTGTTGCTATTGCTAACGTATTTTGGCTTTAAATTTATACTTTTTAATGGTTGTAATGAATTAAAAAGTTGTTTAGTTTATTTACTTTTATATCGTAGACCATCCCAAGCAGCAAGACAATTACTAAGCAACTTCGTTTATGTCTCAGTCTATTAAATTTTCTATATTGCTATCCTGAATCAACAATTCCTTTTCATTTGAGGCGTTAAACACATATAGTCGATAGTTAGTTATGTTAGGCATCAGGCTCTGAAGTTATAAGGCAGATCTACTATTGGAATATATGGAATAATACATATAACTAGAACTTTGTTCAGTACAACTTTATTGAATCTTTTAAAGGTTTTGGATTCGTATTTACAATCAAATATTTATTTGGAATTGTTTGTTCATCAAGGTGAAAAACATGGTCATGAAGATAAAAAAAAATCTCTATTACTAAAATTCTAGATAACGCTATGTTGTAGAATGTCAGACACAAGACTACAAGCATTACAACTAAGGCCATGGCAGGAGTATACTGCAATGCATTGGAAAAAATATTAAGTTTTAAGAATAATAGCAGACTGATGAATTGCAAGGAAACTAGAGAAACTTTGGTAAAAAAATCTTAAATAGCTATTTAAATAGGAAAATTATTAGCATTCCACGATGTGGAAGCGACAAGTTACTGAACAATATTTGGCTTAGTTACATGATTAATAAAAGGTATAGTTATCAAGTGAAATGGCATACACTTTTGAATGCTTAAAAACACCTCTAAATCTGTCATTTTAGCACAGAATTATGATTATTCAAATTGCGTACACCTTCTTGCAGTCAGAACTGGAATACTTGGCTTTCATGTATACACAACCTAATGATTTTGCCGAGCTCAAGAAGAGAGTTGAGGATCTTTCTAAAGAGCATGAAAAAGAATTGGAAGAGGCATGTATAGTTGTTTCTTTACTCTCAGCCGTGGTTTACTGTTAATTTTTTTCTAAATTTGAATATTAATCTTCTTAACACTTAGTAACAGATATTGCTTTATCCTATCCAGGCTAAGAAGGTTCTGATGCAAAAAATTGAGAACGACCAGTTTTTAGATTTTATGACCTTTAAAATAGAAGTTTTTTCAGCTTGCAAGGAATTATACAGGTGAGGACATGCATCTCAATAAATTTCTTCTATTTGTTTTATAGTAGACTTGGATGATGGGTCTACTGTTTCTGTAGAAATCTTAATCACGGAAATTAGGAGACACTGCAGTGGAATTGGCTTTGGACTGTTGTAGTAATCAAGGAATGAATCACTTTTGGATTCTGGCATATGTGGGAATTGTATATCAGTGCATATATTGCTTTCCAACTAGCTATCATGTGTTGTTTTTTTCTCTCGTATGGATTCAAATGAAACAATATATATATATATATATA